AGCTGCTGGTGCCTTTCCTCAAAAATCCAACCACGTTTCAAAAAGAATGAACCAGGGGGTCCAATCCTATGGGCCCCAGAAAGAGGTGGCCCCATCCTCCAATGGATGTTTCCAATGGGGGGGGGACTTTGTGTGCAGAAGAAGAATAGAAGAAGAAGAGATTGGATTTATACCCCATGGCCCTTCACTACCCAAAGGTGTCTCAGAGCGGCTTACAAGCTCCTTTCCCTTCCTCTCCCTGCAACAGACACCCTGTGAGGGAGGTGGAGCTGAGAGAGCTCTGACAGAAACTGCTCTTTTTCAAGGACAGCTCTTGTCAGAACTATGGCTTGCCCAAGGTCATCCAGCTGGCTGCCTGTGGAGGAGTGGGGAATCAAACCCGGTTCTCCTAGATTAGAGTCCACTCAGTAGCAGAGAAGAAGATGAAGAAGAGGAGATTGGATTTATACCCCATGGCCCTTCACTACCCAAAGGTGTCTCAGAGCGGCTTACAAACTCCGTTCCCTTCCCCTCCCCACAACAGACACCCTGTGAGGTAGGTGGGGCTGAGAGAGCTCTTGACAGAAACTGGCTCCCTTTCAAGGACAGCTGAGCCAGAACTATGGCTTGCCCAAGGTCATCCAGCCAGGTGCAAGTGGAGGAGTGGGGAATCAAACCCGGTTCTCCCAGATTAGAGTCCGCACACTTAACCACTACACCAAACTGACTCTCGGGGAAAGCAGAAACCTCTGAGCTGGCATCTAAAATTTTCTGCAACAGCCTAGAGGAAACTATGGCTGTGACTAGTACGTAAGGCAATAATTCCACTTTTATACGACTCCCAAGCCAAATTTAAATACCTTGTTCCTAGAAGTTATAATCTGCTTAATCACTATTCGGTCAGCCAGCACCAAGACTTTAGTCACTGAAGAAAGCAGCAACCGGGCAGCTTTTACCACTCCAGTTTTGTCTGTAAAAATAGTGAACCGTCCATCAGATTCCGGATGATCCAAGGCTGCTATGTCCGTGAGCTGAGCGATCGTCTCCCCTACAAACAAAGCAAAGTACAGCGACTGATACTTTATTGAAGCTATTCCAAGAACCGGACAGAATCAAAGCAAGAACGGGAGGCAAGCCTCCATAGAAAAGTCCAGATAACTGCCAAAGGAAACGCAAGATCCTCCCTAATTTTCGTAGTGAATCCACACCTGCCTCAGTCTCTCTAATGAGGCCCTCTGCCACTGAAAGTAGGTATTTCAGAAATCGTGTCGCTTAATGAGGTTGCCAGTTTGGTGTAGTGGTTAAGTGTGCGGATTCTAATCTGGGAGAACCGGGTTTGATTCCCCACTCCTCCACTTGCACCTGCTGGTGTGACCTTGGGTCAGTCACAAGCTCTGGCACAGCTGTCCTTGAAAAAGAGCCGTTTGTGTCAGAGCTCTCTCAGCCCCACCCACCTCACAGGGTGTCTGTTGTGGGGAGGGGAAGGGAAAGGAGCTTGTAAGCCGCTCTGAGACTCCAAGTGAAGGGCGGGGTATAAATCCAATCTCTTCTTCTTCTTCTTCTTGCCAGCTCCAGGCTGGGAAATCCCTGGGGATCCGGGGGCACAGCCATGGAGGGTGGGGTTCGGGGAGGGCAGGGACCGCAGCGTGCTGCAACGCCCTAGAATCACCTCCTCCAAAGCAGCCATTTTCTCCAGGGGAACTGAACTCTGTCGTCTTGAGATCAGTCGTAATTCTGACAGAGCTCCAGCCCCCGCCTGGAGGAGGAGGAGACTGGATTTATACCCCGCCCTTCACTCGGAGTCTCAGAGCGGCTTACAAACTCCTCTC